GAACATTCCTCTTATACCTCCCCCAGGCACTTAAATTCATCACATGCAAAAAAGAATTCAGAGTTGCACTCTCCCCCAGACCTGGCCTAGATCCTATGTTCCCATCTCATTCAGAGGCGCAGGCATCCACACTGCCAACAGTCAAGACAGAAACCCTCGAGATGTCCCGCCATCTCCCTTTCCTTACTCTCTGCCACTTGTGTCACATCTCTCCCCTCACCCACATGACTCCTGCCCGACTCGTATGCACATTCACCACCTCCTTCCTGAACATCGTAGCCTCTTCCCAACCGGGCCCCCCGCCTCCAGGCTCCCCTTCCATCCCACTGTCCACAAGCTATCAGAGCAATCTTTTTAATAAGCACACATACACATTACTCCCTCATTAAAACCTCACAGTGGTGCCCCATCACTTTCAGGCTAGAATCCAACTGTTTAAGATGCCTCCTAAGACCCTTCTGGATTTGGCCTCCACTAGCTCTTCCAACCTCATCTCTGTTACCCACCCTACATGTTGGACCCCACCCCTCAGCGGACAGTTCTCAAACACATGAGACCAGTTCTCTCGTTGGGGCCTGGGGCCTCCAGGTCCCTCTACACAAAATGCTTGCCTCCTCCAGTCCCTCCGCCAGCTGATGCCTGTTCATCCCTCAAGACCCATCTCAATCGTCGCTTTCCCACCCCAGGGCTGGACCAGGCCCTCTGGTGGTCCCACTGCCCCCTGCTCCAACTCCAGTCACACACCACTGTCCTGGAGTCTAAAGGGATCCAAGTTCAAGTCTGGGAATTCTCTGTGGGGAGGAGGGCCTCTATCAGATGCTCTCCAGGTTCCGGCTGCCAGCCCCGGCCAGGCCCATGGCAGGGCTCAGAGCCTGAGCTGAATTCCTGGATCTCAGCTGTGCTCAGCACCTGGCCCTAAGGCAGACTTGATCCCTGTTTCAGGTCTAACTCTCCCTCTGCTCGGGGCCCTCCATATCTCATAACCAGCATACCCTAAGCCGCTACCCCCATGTATGGGGCCTATCACGGGTAGACAATGACGCTCACCCCCTATCGAGGCCATGCACACACCTGGCAGTGTGCACACCATTAACACATGTGCACTCCCCTGAACGCACATACAAACCTGCCTACACACGCAATGACATACACGTGCCCCCACACATACGTACACGTGTCTACACAACCACTGGCACACAAGCAGCCACGAATGCCCCCAACCCCATGGCTGCACCAGCAGGCATGTGGGCCCCTCACCCACGGGTGCTCATAGGTTCCCTGGTGGCTGGTGGCCAGCCTGGGGGCCGCAGGCAGCACACCTGGTTGATGACATAGACGCCATAGCGCAGCCGCTGTCGCCTGAGGATGGGGTGCAGATAGTGGAGCCAGTAGCGTAGGTGGTGCTCCCGGTGTCGGAAGGGGATGATGACCGCCACCGTCTGGGCTGGCGTGCAGTCGGGTGGTGTATAGCGGCCACCCAGGAGCACGCCTGGGTTTTCCCTCTGCACCCGCTCCAGGGGCATGGGTGAGGTGAACTCAATCAGCAGTCGGCCCACTGCAGGCAGGACGGTGGCAGGAATCAGGCCTTCATCAGAACCCAGGAACACCAGCCCTCTCCCTCCGCCTGGGGTGGGCAAGGGAACCCCAGGAACAGCCCTCTGACAACACACCCAGAGCCTTGGCACCCCCGTGGGTCAAGACTCCACTCCCCCAGTCCCCTGCCCACCCCCAGAGGCAAGCCCCACCCTGCAGGCTCACCAAGACCAGGCGGCGAGTCAGGACAGGGTGGCAGGACAGGAGCCGTGGGGCCTGGCCGGGCGCTGGGAGCCTCGGGGAGCCCGGAGCTGGGGGCAGTGGCGTTGGGCCGAGAGCAGTTGGTGCTGCTGCCGGCAGCTGGGTGGAGGGCACGGGCGGGGCCTCGTGCACTGAAGCGGCTGAAGAAGGCCAAGTGCTGGGCGTAGACGTCGAAGTAGAGGATGACGGCCACGAGAAAGTGCAGCAGGCAGAGCAGGAGCACGGCCTTGCAGACGCGCTCCAGCGTCCCCCCGAGCAGTCTGCTCATCCCGCAGGCGGCCACCAGCCCGCCCAATGGGCCGGGGCATCCGGCTGCTGGCCTGAGCAGGGGTAGGAGAGAAACAGACCCAGGAGGTCAGGGCCGGAGGGGCTAGGCCACCCACCCACCTCCTGCGCACCACTCACATTCTTAGACCCGCATCCTCACACTTACCTGCTCACACCCTTCGACTTACATTCTACCTGCAAATACACACAGTCCCTGGCAACTCACTACTCCCACATCTTCACACAATGCCTTCCTTCCTCATCCTCATTGACACTCAGAAGCACAGCCTCACCCACCCACTCAGGTACGTGCCCTTATTGCCCGACTTCACACACACCCTATGGATTCCCAAGAACGTGGACATGTGACCTTCAGTTCACGCTGGCTCATACCTGAACAAGGAAACACGTTTACGTATAGACCCACACGTGTTCTCTGTGCCCGAGAGAACAAACGCCCCACAGGCCAGCATCCTCAACCCAGGACTCCTGGTCTGGGGGACAGAGACCATTTACTGAGTACTTACCATGCAAGAGCACTTTGTACTCGACTTCATTTAGTCCTCTGGGGAACATGGGGGACAGTGGTTTGGTTGGACAGGTTCCAGTGGCAAGCAAGCCAGGCCATCTGGGACCAGGCTGGGAAGTGGCCCTCAGCATCCAGGTGGCCCAAATTTGAACAAGATGTTTATGGGATCCCTTCCCTTTGGAGCAAGAGGTCAAAATACAGAGTGGGGCATCAGACACACCTCCCATAAGACCTCAAGGATTGGGATGAACTCTCTGGGGCCTGCCCAGCACTGCTGGTTCTGATTCCCAGAAAGGGGAACGCTTGGGCCCTGGAGACAGCATGTTAGGAGAGGGTCTTGCCTGGGCCATGGCTCTAACTGTGGGTCTGACACAGCAGCAACACTTCTGGGGGGCACTTCTGGCAGTGCTTCAGAGAGCAGGGTGAGTCTCACTCAGATACATAGCATCACACAACCACACAGACACCCGCAGTCCCAGCTACAGTCACCTGCACTCAGATACACACAGAACTACATGTAGAGTCACAGACACACCTGGGTGACAGTAACAGCAACACAACGAGTCACGCACTCACAAACAAAGCCGCTGCTCCTGGACTTACAGAGTCACACAGACGGGCTCCCGGGCACTTCACAACACCGGGACCCACGTGCAAATACTCCCACCCCTCCCTCCGGGGCAGGGGTTCTGGGTCAGGCTGCCAGGCTGCGAGGTGCGTTTGGGCGGGGCTGTAAGGCTGAGTGGCCTGAACACGTGGCACCCCGAGACCTGGAGGCAGCGAAGACTGGGTGGGTGTGGAGCCTGGCGGGGAGGGGGCTTGGAGGAGAGGATGTGGGGTAGGGGCCGAGGAAAGGGGAGCGAGGAGCGCCTCCCCACGCCACGAGGCCAGGGTGAGCGAGGACAATAAGGGAGGCTGGCTGGGAGCGGGCAGAGGAGCCCGAGTGGGGCGAGGAGACTCGAGGGATGGGGGTAGGGTGGGGTGACGCCAGGCCGGGGTCCGGCCGCTAGCGACTCTCACCGGGTCCTGGGCGGGGATCTCGGGGCCGCGCTCGGGGCACCCCTCGCGGGGCCGGGTCTAGAATCTCGGGGCCCCGGACTGGGGGCCGCGCGCGACCCCCTCTCACCCGGCTCTCGGGGCTCAGCAGGGGGCGCCGCTCCGGCTCCGGCTGGATTCCGGGCTCCGGCGGCTGCGAACGGCTCCGTCCCCCATGGCCCGGCCCCGCCGCCTTCCGCCTCCCCCGTCAGCG